AGCTGAATCAGAATCAGTTTTCAGAAGATGGTACCCCCAACTTCTAAAAAAACTGATTCTGAGAGTAAATTAGAGCACCAAAAGTGTTTCTGGAATTTCACCCAAACACTCCAGCTTCTACTTCTGCTCTCTGAAGGAGCAGAATCAGTTTTGAGGATCAGATCCAAACACCTCCATAATAAGAACTTTTGAAAATATTTGGCTGTACTTGGCAAATACTATCCTGCATTTTTTTTAATCGCAATATGTTGAATTTTACACTATTCACATGTTCTACTTTGACTATATTTTACGGTATTATTTTTCAAAAATTATTTTTTAAAAAAATATTGTTCAATTCATCTCATTACAAATTTTCAAAATCTGATTTTTAATTATTTTTTACTAATAGAGATTAACATATAATTACCGTCAAAGACATGCGTTGACAAGTGTGAAATGTTGACCGTTTGAAACTAAAAAGGAAAGGAGAAAGTAAGTGACTGTGAATAGAAATACAGAATTACCCTTCACACTATATATAAATAAATAAAATTAGACCTATTTTTTCTTCTAATTTTTTGGGGCCGTACCCCTTCAGAACCGGCCCTGCTCACAAGGCCCACACTCATCGACAAAAGCCACGTTCTTCGTACCTCGCTAGTCGCTAGCTCCATGCACTATTTTTTTGCACATGGGGATGTAATTGACTAGTACGATTTTGCAGTAATTGACTAGTACGATATTTTGTGACTCAAATAAGTGAATCACAACTGTTCGGAAAGTGAAATGGTGACTAGGGTGCGAATAACACTTTTGCACACCTAACATTATTATAATTTCAAAAAGAACTTTTGCATACCTAACATTATTTTTATTTACTTTTAATGTTGTCACTAGGGTGCGAATAACACTTTTGGTAATTGTTTTTTAACTTTCCATATTTAGGTCTTGTTTGGCAACCGGCTGTTAGCTTTAGCTGTTAACTTGTTAAGACAACTGATTGACAATAGCTGGTTATGTCAGCTGTTTTAATTGACTGATTACATTAGCTTGTTGTCAGCAAATGTTTGGTAAATTAGTTGTTTAAGAATAGATGTTTGCTTGTAAAAAGACATATAAGAACATTACTATTTTATTTCATTTTTAGCTATTGCTTATAAAAATATTGCGTACTATCATATTACTTACATTTCTTACAGAGTATAAATCACTCAAATTTTAGAATTTGATAAACAAAACTGCATGAAAGCTAAAATAAATTAAAACAAACATTTCAATTTAATTTGAATAAGGGAAAATGGAAACTAATAATCCAACCTTTTAGCGGTCTTCTTTTAATAATCCGACCTTTTCGTTATTCATGAATAATCCAACCTTTGAACCTCATCTTCATTCATTGAACCTCATCTTCATTCTTATCTCTGGAGACTATTATACCATAAATTCCACCTTTCACAAAGATAATATTTTGCAAAGATAAGAAAATAACTTGTAATAGCAGGTCATCAACCGGTCAGGGACCAGTGAATGAAGATGAGGTGCAAAGGTTGGATTATTCATGAATAACGAAAATGTGGGACTATTAAAAGAAGACCGCTAAAAGGTTGGATTATTAGTTTCCATTTTCCCTTTGAATAATACAGAGTATGAATTAAAAAATCAAGTTTATTTGTAATTTAAAAAATTAAAGAAAGTGCGCTGCAGCATGTAAGCATTACGATGCATATGTGAAAAACAAATAAATAATTAGCAACATTCAATTCAAAAGAGGCATGGTTTGTACTTCAAACTGCAGAACGTCCGAACTCGAAAGTAGCACAAAGGTTTAAATGGACATTTAATAATTACAAAGCAACCAGCCAAACACAAAACGCTGCTGTTGCTAGCGTTTGAAAACCTAGCTTTTGGAGAGCAATAATCTAATCTCACAAGCTATTTACCAAACGTAAATTGATAAATTTTGAGAGTTCAGCTGGTCAACCCAATTAAAAGTGGTCAAATAAGCTGAAAAATGGCTGATTAGCCATTTAACAAACATGGCCTTAGTTTTTCAATTTTTTAAAAGGGACACATTTCATCTTTTAATTATTATAATAATGACATTTTTAGGCTGAACTAATTGTGTTAAATAATAAGGGAAGGACGAAAATAGTCAATTTGATAATACTCTAGAGACTTAAAGTCTCTCTTAAACAATAGTCAAGGACTGAAAAAAGGAAAAATCAAAAATTGAGCACCAAAGTGTTACTGACACAATAGTTGGTGAACCAAAAGTGCCAAAACTCTTTAAAGAATACCACATCCATCCCATTTTATGTGTCTCACTTTGTCTTGACACGATTATTAATAAAGTGATTGAAAAAGTAAAAGTTGTGGTTGAGGTTTGAGTAAATAATAAAGTGAAATGGTATGTGTCACATATTTCTTTCCAAAAAGGAAAACGTGACACTTATTTTGAGACAAACCAAAAAGAAATGTAGAACAGATAAAATGGGACGAAAGGAATAGTTTGCAAAAATTTGAAACTGGTGAATAAGGAAAGTGTGAATATGAATTATGCAAGTAAAGATACCTATGGTTTGGGCCATTTTCATATAGGGGCACGTGTTTCATTTTTTTAACAAAATGGGACATGTGTTTCAATTCTGTTATCACAGCAGGGACATGACGTCTAAAGCCGTTAGAAAATATAACCCCGATTTTCAAAAGTTTTCGAAACATTAAAACAAAAATATTGGGAGGTGCGCCTCATTAAGGATATCAACAAAGTATTGTTTTCTTTGATTTTTTCGGCTCTATTTGGGTTATTTTTCAAAAATGAATTTGTTAATATCACTTTTTCGGCGGATTTTTGGCGACATGGTGGTTGGAAACAAAAAAAGAAAGATAATTTGTTGGTCTCCTTGACGAGACACACCTCTCAGTATTTTCTTTTAATGTTTCGGAGACTTTTGAAAATCGGGGTTATATTTTCTAACGGCGTTATACATCATGCCCCTGCTGTGATAACGGAATTGGAACACATGCCCAACTTTGTTAAAAAATGAAACATGTGCCCCTATCTAAAACGGCACAAACCACATGTACCTTGTAATTTACCAACGCACTTTGAAAAACAATGTCAATTATTGTAGTAATATTGTCAGTTATGCTTGGAAAAATAATGTCAATTATTGTTACCCCAATCTTAATAGACTTTAGTATTACCCCAGTGCTTGGATTAACTTCCAAATCTCTTTCCTTCATCCCAAATTAATCTTTTCTTTTTTGACAAAGAATTTGTGATTCACATCATTTCTTCTTATACATTTTTACACATTTCTCGTTGCACTTGGACTTTCAAAATTTTTTATTATATACTTCGTATGTAATATTTTCATAAAATGCTCATGCTTTAAGTAGATATGTGCGTGTGTGTGTGTTCGCCCCCCTTAACTTTTAGTTTTCAAAATTAATATAGTCCTACACATTATAATACTCCCTCTGTCCCAAAAAATTGGTCAAATTGACTTTTCTTGATCAATGGTAGTCAGCTTTGATTAATGATATTTTTTAATACGATTTTTTTTTAATATGAAAGTTATACTAACATGTTTCTTATTCAAAATATCTTTATAAAAGTATAAAATTTATATACAAATATAGAAAATTGTATCAGTGTCCATAGTTTGCTCATTGACTAAGAAAGATCAATATGACAAACATTTTCGGGATGGAGGTAGAACTTAATTAATAGGGGACTTAAAAGAATAAATATCTGAAATAATTTATCATTAATTATACAATAGAACGACTCATTGTTTAAAACTTAGGATATTTATTATACTTAGTTTAAAAGTTCCTAGTTTTGTAATGTTTAATTATTCTTATTACGTAGTTAGTACTCAATTTTGTAAAATATACGAAATATTATAAACCACACACTAGTTAAATAACATTTAAATCATGTGGAGTGAATCCAAAATATATAAATGCTTGATGACATTAAATAAAACTATTCATTTACTTCTTACTTTCTAAGAACAATTTATATTGCACAAATAATAAATTTAACGTAATTATTTTAGCATTAATACAAATGTAATATGCACCATCTATACGAGTCATCAATATAATACTACGTATTATTGTAAAAATAAATAAATAATCCCATACTTATTATTGTAATACGAAGTATTAAAAAAATATCCTTGATAAATGAATATTGCAATTCAAAAACCAAATCGTTATTCTGATAAAGTTCACGTGGTTAAACAAGACAAAAGGTATTTAAAAAGTATTGATGGATGGATGTGCACCTTTTAAACTCTTTATCATCAAATAATTTGGTAAAATGTTACATATTCTTTGCAATTTTCAAATAATTTTCCTTTGGTTTGCTATTTCTTACGCTTTAATGTATCGATATTTTTTTTCTTGATCGAAGACTTCAATTATAAAATTAAAGTTATTTTTCCATTGTCAAAATTAAGAATGTACTCCATAATAGATTTAAATGTCTTCATGCATGTATCAATGGAAGTTTTTAGAATAAAAAAATAGCTGCAGAGCTTTGCACGAGTGGAAATCGTCAGCCCGCTACATACGCTACATCCTTAACTCCACTACTACACATTTTTTTTCGAAACATTCGTCTAAATCTATTATAGTATCTTCTCTTGTTAATGCCAACATCCTAGATTGCGATGAGACTCGAACATGCGACTTACTCTTTGGGAGATCAATAGTGATGCCGTCAGAGCACAAGCTATTATATGATTCCACTACACAATTTCTAATTTCTTAATTCACATGCAAAACGTTCCGGTAGACAATTCAAATATGGAGGGACCAAGGGAGTACTGTGTAAGTGTGTAACATTGATGTTTAATTAACAACTCATTTATGGTTTTGCTATTTCGATCTCTCATTGCTTTCCAGTACCAGATACTGTACTATACGTATTAAATTTTCTGTGAATAGAATTAGAAATGCGTGAAGTGGCATGGAGCTGAGCCAAATTAAAGTATCAGCCACCTAAAAAAGTTGATCTCTTTGACATGGGAAAAATGAACACTAGCTCACCAGAGGCCATATGCTACGAATATAAATACGTCCATCATATCAAAATATCATATGCATAACCGCATAGAATTCAAACTCAGTCACAAATCAATTAGACTAATCATGGAAGCAGAAAATGTTGGAAATGGCATTAGGGTGTTGATGTTTCCATGGTTGGCTGTAGGGCATATCACCCCATTCCTGGGGCTGGCCAAGAAATTATCCCAGAGAGGCTTTTGTATCCATCTTTGTTCCACCCCCATCAACCTTAGTTTCTTCAAAAACAAGATCCCCCAGAAATACTCTTCGTCAATCCAGTTACTGGAACTTCACTTGCCAGAATTACCAGACCTCCCTCCTCACTACCACACTACCAATGGCCTCCCACTCCATCTCCACACCACCCTCCATAAAGCCCTTGAAATGGCTGAGCCCACATTCTCCGACATCGTGGGAACCATGAAACCACACTTGCTGATCTATGATTTTCTGCAGCCCTGGGCAGCAGCCATAGCTAAGTCACATAATGTCCCGGCCGTCCAATTCCCCACTTCAGGTTCCGCCATGTTTTCCTACGCTTTCCACGCATTTTTCCGGCAGAACGCCGAGTTTCCTTTTGCGGAACTCTCTCCAAGCATCTACGACCAAGAGAGGTTAGATAAGATATTAGCTGAACTGAGAAGCAGCAGAAATGGCAGGGAGGATAAGAACATGATTGTGATAGGTACCTCCACAGAAATAGAGGGGAATAAGTATTTGGATTATATGAGTGAATTAGCCGGGTGCAAGACTTTAACACTTGGTACGCTGGTTCAGGAGCATGATCAAAATGAAGGGCGTTTTGAGCCGTTGATGGAATGGTTAGGAAAGAAAGAGGAGAAATCGACGGTATTTGTTTCCTTTGGGAGCGAGTATTTTCTGTCAGATCATGATAGGCATGAGGTAGCCATGGGGTTAGAGAAAAGTAGGGTGAACTTCATTTGGGTACTCAGGTTTCCTAAAAATGCAAGTGAAATGACGGTAAAACCCCCTAAGAATCTTCTTGAAACGGCACTGCCAGAGGGCTTTCTTGAGAGGGTTGGAGATAGAGGGAGAGTGGTGGAAGGATGGGCCCCACAATTAAGAATTTTATCGCACCCTAGCATTGGAGGGTTCGTGTGCCATTGTGGGTGGAACTCTGTTAGTGAGAGTATTGAATGTGGTGTTCCAATCATAGCCATGCCCATGCATCTTGACCAACCTATAAATGCTAAGTTGATTGTGAATATTGGTGTTGGGGTTGAAGTTGTGAAGGACGATACCGGGAATTATCACAGCGAAGACGTGGCTCGAGTTTGTGATGAAGTTGTTCTTGGAAAGGGTTCAGAAAATTTGCAGAGGAATGTGAAATTGATGGGTGAAAATGTAAGGATTAAAAGCGCGAAAGAGATTGGTGAAGTTTCTATATTGCTTGCACAACTTTGTTGTCCATAATAATAAAACTATCGTTTATTGTGACAATAAAAGTAACACGTTTTATCATCTATTTTTGGTTTAATTTTTTTCTTGATTTGAAATATCAAACTTGTATTACATCTATGTTCAATTTTTGGTGATTAATAAAATGTTGAAATCTAATTTTTAAATATTGGGCATGCTATCACAAGTTTGATAGCATTCTGTATGATTATATCCTACCGTAGGATTCTTTAGTCTTTAGAGATTTGTATTTGGTGTAAATATAATCGGAACCGTCTGTCAGGTATATTTTCCCTACCATCTTTGATCGGGGTCCTCTAATAAGAGGTGTGTCCTGATTTCTCAAATCAGAACTTGATTTTATGGCTCACTATTATTGATGAGGGCCGTTCACCCCCTACTAAACGAGTACATATATGGTACAGCCGGCTGTACGGTGAGCACCGTACAGCCGGCCCAGTAACAGGCCCAAGGGAAAAATAGCAAAATAATTTGGTGGCGTTTTTGTAATTAATGTAAAAATCGTGTTTCTACTAAATGAGCATTATTGTACTGTTAATGAGCAATAGTCCGTTAATGAAAAAATAAAAAAAAAATAAAAGAGTTGATTGATTCTCAATAGGGTGTTATGGACAACTGATTTCATAAAGAGAGATGGTCTTAAATAGGACCAAATTTGAGTTGATGTAAGTCATGTAACTGAATAGGACTTACATCTTTTTAATCCATAAATCGGATCGTATATTTTCGTATGTTCCGGATTTGCCCTTACTTTTTTATTGCTCGGCCTGTGTCCTTTCCTCACCGACTCGCCATCAAGGAGCATAGGGTCGAAAGGGGAGTTGGGTCTTCTGCTTTGACAAACAACTTCTGGATTGAAAGCAATCGGTTAAATCTGGCCGGCGGAAGGTGGCCCACCTCCTAATCGCCGGAATTGGTTAAATCTGGCCGAGAGTAAGTGGCGCAACAGTAAAACTGTCAAATAAAGCAAAAGTTAACTGGTTGAATGTCGATTCCGTCGAAGATGTTACAGATCTGTTCTTCATCACCTCCTCCCTTCCTCTTCTCCTTATTCTATTCTCTCCTTATATTATTTTGTCGCTGTTCTTTTTGGTGAGCAGTTTGGTTTCTGTCGCTTGTCTTTCCTGTCCTTTTTACTCCATTTGATTTAATTAATTCCCAGCCTTTTCAAATTTCAACTGCAGTTTTTTGTTTTATTTTTATTTTTGTGATAATAAATAATTTATATTACTCCGTATACTTTATTTGATTCATTTTAGCCATTTAGCTTGGTACAAGGTTGTTAAACTCGAGATCCTAGCACGGATCGGAAGGGGTCTAGGAGATCGTAACTCGGGGATCGTAACTCGGATCGTAAGATCCTAATATATATATATATATATATATATATATATATATATATATATATATATATATATAGAGAGAGAGAGAAATCATCTCATCAGGCCGGCCTGACAGGCTGCCCCGTCCGGCCGAGCCCGTTTGGGCACCTTCCCGGTGGAATTTTTTGATGAAATTTTTTGAGCATGTTCCTCATCAAGTCTAGTTTGTCCATGCCAAATTTCAGCTCAAAATTCGATCGGGAAGGTCGTCAAATGATTTTTGCAAGTTAACTGGTCCGGAATATGTATTTTCCGGACCAGTTAACTTGCAAAAATCATTTGACGACCTTCCCGATCGAATTTTGAGCTGAAATTTGGTATGGACAAACTAGACTTGATGAGGAACATGCTCAAAAAATTTCATCAAAAAATTCCACCGGGAAAGTGCCCAAACGGGCTCGGCCGGACGGGGCAGCCCGTCAGGCCGGCCTGATGAGAAGAGCTCTCTCTCTCTCTCTCTCTCTCTCTCTCTCTCTATATATATATATATATATATATATATATATATATATATATATATATATATATATATATATATATATATATATATAGGGGTAAGGTTCAAGTGAGAAGAACCCTTTGGGTGAGAAATGAGAATGAATCTCAGCCATTGGATTCGACTAAGTTGCAATAAAAGACACTTCATGATGCACTGAAATATGCAATCTAGCACAGTGGCATTTCTGTAAATACTTCTGAAAAATCCGTATTACACGTGTCTAGTGCAACATGAAGCTATTTCGGTGCAACGCCGTCAAATATTAGTGCAACATAAAACAGTTTTAGTGCAACATGTGCAAAATTTAAATATTACTGCAACATAAAACCAATTTTAGCGCAACTTCGTAAATCCAATGGCTGAGATTCATTCTCATTTCTCACATTAGATGCATTTCTCACCTGAACCAAAATATATATATATATATATATATATATATATATATATATATATATATATATATATATATATATATATATATATATATATATATACAGGAATATTCTTGTCCGGAATTTCTGAACAGGAGGGCCGTCCGGCCTCCTCTATTTGGGGGCCTTTTCGGTGGTATTGTTTACTCAAATTTTTTGTGTAGATTCCTCATCAAGTCTAGTTCATCCATATCCAACTTCAGCCAAAAATTCAATCGGGAAGGTCGTCAAATGATTTTTGCAAGTTAACTGGTCCGGAATATGTATTTCCGGACCAGTTAACTTGCAAAAATCATTTGACGACCTTCCTGATTAAATTTTTGGCTGAAATTTGGTATGGATGAACTAGACTTGATGAAGAACATACACAAAACATTTAAGCAAAAATACCACCGAGAAGGCCGCCAAATGGAGGAGGCCGGACGGTGCTCTGGTCAGGATATGCTTCGGACAAAGCATATCACAAAAAGTGCATCTCAAGATGTAATAAAATGGGGACAAGTTAAAAAATGTGCAATCTGTTTTCCAATTTCTGGTTTCAATTTTATACATTCCCTATGCATTGTGTAATGTACACATTTTCCACATTTCAAATTACCCTGTCTTGTGATTACGATTCATATAACCCATGTTTCTTTATGAACTTAGGGGGTGTTTGGAACTGATTCTGATTCTGCTTCTAAAAAATTGATTCTAGGAGTAAATTAGATCACCAGAATCACTTCTGCATGATGTGTGTTTTCTCGCACTTAAAAAGATTGTAATATAATGGTGTAAGTACGAGTATCGTCTCCACAGGGACGGACAAAAGGGAATTAAAGATTAAATAAATTCAGCGATTAAAAAGAAATAAATAAAAATGCGTCGTGCGAGATTGGTTGCTGAAAAATAAAAATGCGAATAAAACGATTAAAATAAATGGGTTCTCTCTAATTAATGACGAAGGGAACAAGGATTGATTCCGGGGTAACCAGATTTCTGGCAGATCAGTCTTAATTACATGAAATTAATTCAATTGAGCCTAGCTAATCATTACTAAGTTCTTACCGCTCTCGCGGCGTAGAGTACAATAATTTGGGGGACCAGGCTGATCTTTCATGCGACAGAATCCTAAATTATTGCCAAGACGAGCGAACTTACGTCCCTTTAATCGCTACTAATCTCTTAACAAACGTTTAACTGTGTGTGAATGTGTCCTAGAATAAATTAGATCTCTCTTAATTTATTCTGCAAGCAATTGTAATTCTAGCGGCCGTTCCAGGTTACAAGAGATATTAGTTAAATTATTCAAACACAAATTAAACGGAATTCATGGAATTAAACTGACAAGAATCTAGCCATACATCATGATCAACCCCTTCATCAATTCCAAATCCCTAATTAAACTACTCACAATTCATAATTGAAAAATCAATAGAATTGGAATAAAAAAAATTAATTGTCATTAATTAAAAAGGTGGAACTTACAAAGAATCCCAAAAGATTGATGAACTTGGCTGAAAACCCCTTTAAAATTCGTGCTAGGCACTCTCTCTAAGCTCCCCCTTGAAAACGAGAGTTTACAGGCTGTTTAAATAGAAAAATCGGGTAAAATTTGAGCGAAATTAGGATTCCAGGGGCAACGCACGGGGCAACGCACGACATGCGTCCCCCAGTGCGTCCGGAGCATAGCCGCGTAAAAATATGGACTCCAAATGAGTGCTTGCCAAGCACTCATCCCAATTGCTTCTCAAGCGCCGGTGCCGAACTCTAAATTCCTGATTTTGACTCCAAATGTCACAAAACTCGAACCAACGCCTGGTAAACATAACATGAGCTAAAATTGAGACTTATAACACCTTAAAGCTAGTAAAACCATCAAAATCCAATCCCAACATGCATCAAATGTGTGTCTAAATATGGACTTATCACTGCACTTTCATCCAAATACTCCAACTTCTGCTTTTGCTCCCTGAAGAAGGAGAAACAGTTTTAACAATCAGATCCAAACACCCCCTCATTATCCTTCATCAATTTTTTTGAAGAGCATTCAAATATTCTATTGCCTTGACCAAAGCTGCGACATTGATCTTGTTTTTGTTGCTCTATATGGTTCTTTTAAAGTTCTTATCTTTCCTTTTCTCTTCTCATTTGCACTTGTCTTTGGCCCATATCACTCTGTTTTGCGGGTTGGTGTGGTGTTACGACAAAATCCTCATCACTGCTATCGATGTAGTTGTAATTCAGTGTATTTGCATTGCTTTGGTATCATATATGCTTGAACTTATAGCTTCTGCAGTCCTTCTGTTGCGTGTGGATGTTGCACTTTGAGCATTCATTCTCTTGTGATTTCCAGCCATTAATTTCCTCTGCATCTTTCCATTCCTATGTTAACCTTCTGCTCCATCTTTTCCTAAATCACTCCGTACACATACACATTATTTAATAATTTGAATCACACAATACTAATTACATATTACGAACACTTTTTGTTATACATTGTGATGAAACGGTTAGCAACACAAGAGAAGAGGGAGGGTGAATTGTGTGTGTGTGGAACCGTTGCAGTTTTTCGCCAAGTTCTAGTGTGGGGTAAAGGGAATTGCGAAATAGTAAAGTGCACAACGATTTAACGAGGAAAAATCCCTTGGCTCAAAGGGATTAAAAAACCTCGACCTCACTCGGAGGAATTTTAACAACTTCACTAAAAAACCTTTGAATGATTACAAGGAAAACTCTCCTTGTCTACCCTTGAGCCACCCCAACTCTATCCTCTCTAGGAAGAGTTATGCTTCTCTACCTTGCGGGTAGAGAGCCTCTAAGCTTTACAACAAAGCTCTCACAACACACGTTACCCAAC